AAATGGATTAAAAGGAGAACTAAACAGATCTTTCTCATATTGCAATGATCGATTCTATTTCTTTCACTTAATTTAAGTACTGTACTAGTAAATATGTGAAATGACAAACTCACTTTGAAGGTTGGCTTTCATACACATCAGTATTAAATTTAGATCAAAAGTTACCTCAAGGTGCATTTACTGAACATGACTCGATCAAACAGATTAGAGGAAAGAAGAGAAAAGATCGAACTGAAAAAGAACTAATGAAGATGGTACAAAGGTGGGCGCCATGCAAGATCCCTCTGGGATCTCTTGTTCATGAAAACCAGACCCTTTGAATATCATTGTTGTATATGTCTCTAACCCTGTATTTGTCTGTCACACAAAAGATGTCCTTGTGCATTTCTTTAATGGTTGAGGGCAGTAATGCCAAATAAAAACTTCAATTATATCATAGCATGCATGTCAGGACCTGTAATTCAATCACTGTGATACCTATTTCAAACTGTCACTCATGCAGCCTAAATTAATCATATTGTGCGTCACAAACATATCCTAATTGTTTTTCTTTAAAGATGACGTCATGAAGTCTTCCATGGGTGTCAATTAAGGCCTTTAATATTATGGTAAAACAATCTATGATCTGTTAGAGATATTTTTAAATCATCTAAAGAGACTTTCCTACCTTCTTATGGAAATGTGATCTATAAAAAAAAAAGTGTTTTCTGGAATATTTAAAGAGGACAGAGATTTTATCAATGTCGTTTCCTTGTAATCTATAAATCATTATTTACTGTCTGAACTGGATGAGATGTGAAATCCATTTGTGGGAATAACTAAATAAATTGCTATTTTTTCAATTTTACGCTACCTAAATTTCTTGGTTAAGTACATATATATCTCTTCTTTATTATATCAACTGCAAACAATATTTGGGAATTATATACAAATCACCCTGTCTGTCTGTCTGTCCATTAACCTTTTAAGTACAACTACTTCTAAATTTTTTGTTGGAATTTATTCATAACATGGTACAGTAAAAGTACATCATATGTAGATATGTTGAAAAAGGGACTTTGTGATTCGACTTTTTTCAGAGTATTGTGGTCCTTATATGTACAACTCCACCTTAACTGTTTGTTGGACTTTTTTTTATAACCTGACAGCCTATCACTGTACGTCATATGTAAATTTGCAGGAAGAAAAGAATTTGTGATTAAAACCTTTTTCCGGAGTTATTGCCCTTGAAATTAGATTTGTTTTATAACCTGACACAGTTTACTCCTTATAAAATAAATCGGTTAAATTGGTTTTTTCCACCTTTTTTTACCTGACTTCATTTTCCAGGGAGTTATAGTCCTCCATCAGATGTTAGTCAAAAAAATAAAAATATTGTTCATTTAACTCCCTCAACAGCATCTTGGGATGCAGACTAACTCCCTCAGTAGTTTTGATAACCAATAACTTAGCCAATCAGGTAAGAGGAGGGCGGAGCCTGTACTGATCTGACCCCCACCCAGTTGTGTATCGATCTTGAGACAATGCAACAGTGCAGTAAATATTGCAAGAGTGCATTTGAAATGGTGTTTTATAAAAAAAATGTTAGATTGTCTCAGCAAAAGAAAACTGGTAGAACATGTGTTTCTGAGAAAAAAAATAACATCAAGATAAAAATGGCCAAGTCGAGGGAAACCAGAATCTTGCTTAATTCTGAAATCCAATATTTTAAGTGTTTAGTAGCAGTAGGATCTTAGACACAAAACTGTACATGCCAAAAACAAAGCTTTTTTAAAAGAAAGATTGAGAAATGTCGCTGTGGAGATTTAACACATCTCTGGTCCTTTTTGTTGGACCCTCAGGGTTCATTTCCACTATTTTCATGTGTTTGAATAATCTTATTCATGATGTATACAAAGTACAATAGAATTTGGCCCATTTAATGTTTATCAATAAGTAGAATAAGAAAATATTGACAGACTGACAGACAGGTGAAAAGACATTTTCACCACACCCTGTATATGCATTCATTGAGGACACACCTCCAGTACAGTAACATTTGTTGACAACACACCCTCCAGTATAGTAACATTAGCTGACAATACACCTCCAGTACAGTAACATTTGTTGACAACACACCTCCAGTACATTAACATTTGTTGACAACACACCTCCAGTACAGTAACGTTTGTTGACAACACACCTCTAGTACAATAACATTTGTTGAGGACACACCTCCAGTACAGTAACATTTGTTGACAACACGCCTCTAGTACAGTAACATTTGTTGACAACACACCTCCAGTATAGTAACATTTGTTGACAACACACCCTCCAGTACAGTAACATTTGTTGACAACACACCTCTATTACAATAACATTTGTTGACAACACACCTCCAGTACAGTAAGATGTGTTGACAACACACCTCCAGTACAGTAACATTTGTTGACAACACACCTCTAGTACAATAACATTTGTTGACAACACACCTCCAGTACAGTAACATGTGTTGACAACACACCTCCAGTACAGTAACATTTGTTGAGGACATACCTTAAGTATAGTAACATTTGTTGAGGACACACCTCCAGTATGGTCACATTTGTTGACAACACACCCTCCAGTATAGTAGCATTCATTGAGGACACACCCTCCAGTATAGTCACATTCATTGAGGACACACCCTCCAGTACAGAAGCATTTG